TGATTATAGAGTCTGCACTCTGGTTGAGTGGACGGCATTGTACCAGTGGACTGATCTGACTGTATTATTTTGTTCTTGCCCACTCGTCCCCTGGTACCATTTTAGCATTATTATGATTCTGCTTGATTATGATGTAAGGCCTCGGATTAAGAGTGTGAGAAGTCATTCAACATTTTCTTGCAGCTTTCACCACATGAGAAATTAGTAAACAATGAAAGCATGAACACTGCCCTGGAGAGGATCAATTGTCAAATCATTGACTCAATGAAGTTCCCTTTACCTGCTACTGTGACAATCATAATCAAGATATTTTGTTAAAATCATCTCTTTAGTACGAATATAAGTGAGTCACTAATACTGATGTTGCTTCATGTTTGTGTTTGTTACTACAGATCTTCAGCTTCCAGTGACAGAGCCAGACATCAACAATCGCCTTGAGTCTCTGTGTCTGAGCATGACAGAGCACGCCTTGGGAGGTAACACCGTTTTTATTTGACTCTTATTATGAATATGTTAGTTGTTCATTAGCATGTGATGCTCCCCACCTGTCATCCTCTCTCTCTCTCTTACATTACATGAGCATTATTTTGCGATCATAGAGAAATGTAGTTCTTCAATACCCAGTACATGGTCATCATATCAGTCAGGTGTCTGGTGACTGCAGACTGCAGTGTCTGTCCGTTTTGTTCCAACTGAATTATCTCAGCTGTTGAAAAGGAATCCACTTTGGTTCCAGGCTGCAGTGGCACGGTTTGATTTGAAAACTTTTATCAGTTTCAATTCCCTCATTTTGTGGCCAGGATTTGTTGTGATAGAACTGCACAGGTAGCAAACAACTGGATGAACCTTGTAGTGTTTATACCTCACTGTATGTTGTAAAATGTCCTAGTTTATGTTAGCCGATCTTACGGGCTTATATCATACCCCGAGTTAAACTTGTAAACATGATACTTTCAGCTTCAGTTATAAAATCTTTTGTAAATGCCAGCAGTTGGATCCGACCTAGACACTTCTGCGTTAAGTTTTAAAACCTAAAGCAAACTATAAAGTGTTCGAACATCATACCAGTCACTCAATTAGTGAAACATTTTAACAATAGGTCGCCTAAGTTGATCTTAATAATACTGATGTTAAGCTGACTGTCCATTCCATCATCAGCTTTAAGTCTGGAGGTGTTTCACCCATCAATCATTTCGGACATGTTGAAGCCAAAGCAAGGGCTTTGCGTTATATTATATATTTTGGTGAAGTTTGGTTCATTAGTTCCAAAAGTCTACAAGTTTGAAATATTATGGCAATTATTTTAATTTCTGAAGGAAGTTCAGCTCAAAAGGTAAATAGAATGTGACGATCCACAGACGAAAGATGGTTGTAGCCAAGTGCCAACCTCCAGTGCTGAAAAATGAAGCCAACATCCATATGCCAAAAACTGCAGTTCCTTCAATCCCCATTAATATTGAAATGCCATATTTTACAGCAGAAATAAACATGTTTACTGCCTGGCCTAATTTTTTTGATAATTTCCCCACTATTACAACTGTTGAGTGGGTGAATGATTGAATAACTCACCCATATAAATGATATTAAAGGGTTTAAGTTACTCATTATTTAGGTTGCTGTTTGTTTGAACTGACAGGGTGACGTCAGAGCAGTTAGCTGCCTCACCCAGGCCGTCCTCAACTCCACCAACCTTTGGATTAGTCAGGATTTAGGCGCTGTCGTCACTGACAAGATGGCATTGACCCGAGCCACACACATAAAGAGAGACTACATCTATTATTGGTGCTCTTGGTTTATAGCAACATGGAAACCACTAGAAAACAATCTTTTCAAAGCTATGGGAATTTGAAAACCCTTAAATGGCCAACACTATGAAAATGCCTGAAAACACATAAAGAAAACCTAGATTATAGTGTAGTTGACATGGCATAAATCGACTCAGTCATTGGCTGTCCTGGCTTGTGCAGAATATTCCCATACAGTGAGTTTCAGTCTGGGTTAAAGTCAGTGCCAACTCCCCCCGTCTCAGAGCTGGTCTGAGGTCAGGACAGTGGGCCTCAGTGCTCGGAGCAGAGCAGTGGACAAGTGCTGCTTTGTGTGTGTGTTGGAGGAGGTTGTGTGTTTGGTGGAGAGCAGAACCAAAGAGTGTGTTTAACTTAGGAACAACTCAGACTTTCCCCTCGTTCTAGTCTTTTGCACACCTAGCCGGCTGTGGTGAGCTTCTCAAACACGACTTGGTAACTGAAGCCAAACATGCTACAGGAAATGCTTTGAAACACAATGTATCATGGGTACAAGAAGAAGAATGTGGATGTTTTATAACGTCCATTCTTTATTTTGCTGTGTGTGGCATCAACCCACCCTTTCAGTGTCATGATGAAATCAAATATTCCACCAGTGTGTAGCTTGATAACATTATCCTCCGAGCCACACCAGAGGCAACAGCTGTCAGCCTGTTGTTTTCCTCTGCACCGCTCTATCAGTATTTATACAGATGTGTTGTTCTCCCATCATGACAGTGTGGGCTCCGGCCCCTCACTGTTCACCAAGTCAGAAAACGCCTCAGGCCTTCCATCACTACTATTCTTCATATCAGATGGGATTTAATAAAACAGAGCTTAATAAATAATAAATAACCTGCAGCCAAAGAGCAATGGTTAGAACGTGCTAAGAAAAAATGTACTGCAGGAAAGCAACGGACAAGACAAAGAGAGGTACTTGTATATGTAAGAAGGCTAATACATATACAAATACATGAGTATAGTGTGGTAGAAATAGGTTTCCTTGTTAATTTTCTCTCTCAAATTTGAGGAATGTTGTCTTTTAATTCCACTGCTAACAGTTCTGTCTTCATCAGGACCTTTGATCCTAACTGATAACACTAACCCTATCTGAGTACGCTGATTCAGTTAACACGTCTGGCGTATAGAATCGAGGGTCCTGATGAAGACAGAACTGTAACATTGAACAGAGGATCAGTGGTTTGGATCCCCAGACCCTTGCTCCTGTAGGCATGGTTATGGTTCTGAAGTTAAAGGAGAGGTGTCATGGCCATTTCCACTGATCATAATTACATTGTTGAGGTATACTAGAATAGATTTATACTGTGCAATTTTCCAAACTCACATTGGTTTCTCATACAGCATCTCTGTAAAGTGTGTGTATTCACCGGTATTCACTCTCTGTCCTAAACGGCTCGTTGGAGCTCTTGCCCCCCCCTCCCTGTGAGCCTAGTGTGCTCCGATTGGTCAGCTCGGCCACTCTGTTCTGATTAGTCAGCCACCAGAGAGGCTCCGCCCATGTCTAACAGTGCTTTTTTCGGCTCGCTCTCAGCGGAACAACAGTCTTATAATGGCGTCGGTACAGCCGTATATTTTATACGCTAACTAACCGAACTGTACCTACAACTGTTGATATAGAAGAGTAAGTTATTTTTACCTGTAATAAACTACTACTGTTTGATGAGAAATCAAATCATGGTTTGCTATATATGAATGATATGTTATAGGAGCAAATCATTCAGGGAAGAAAGGATAGGCCTACTAAGTATTTCCATCAAACTTTATTTTTAGAAATGTACAAAATGAACATGCGTAAATATACATATATACACTGTATATCATCCATTCCTCCCCTTATAGGCGTTTTCGGCATCTTGCCTATCGCAGCTTTGTAAGCTGGTGCCGGGGCTTTTTAGGACAAGGCATCAGAGTGGGTCATCCCGTGTGTGTGTTGTCCGCTAGATACGCCAGGAGTTTCCTGATCTGGCTGGACGAAATCAAATGCAAATCACAAAATATTAGAGAAACTTAGTTGTGTTAGATTCGTTAGTAGTAGTTGTGGTAGGAGTGTGTATCTATCTAATCTATCTATCTAATCAACACAGTTAGCTTGCCAGCTAATATGCTAGCCTACGTTTGCTAGTTGTTCAGTGTAATATGCCAATCTACTATGAACAACAGCTAGTCTAGGCTAGCAAGAACATGTTTACAATTGCAATCTTATACGGGTAGTCTGCTACGTTCGGTCATTCATTGTAGCTGGCATGAAAACAATGTTTTCCCTAGCATGTCTAGCTCTAGGTAGCCTTGTTGTTTAGCTATGTAGCATACACGCTATGAACGGTAGCTTGGTAGCATACACGCCAGGAACGCCAACTATAATGTACTGACCGTACGGTAAATCACCCGGAGTATACTGTCTATGAGTATTTTGTGTGTGAATGCAGACATTCTCCTGCTATGAGATACATGTATGTAAGGCCATCTGCTGATATTGGAGTTGATATATGGAAACGCTAGCAACTTAGTTAGCCCAGTTAGCACTGTGTCAATGGCTTAGCAGTCCGAAACACGTTTACACATTTAAACAGTCGTGGTAGATACCTTGTTTGATAAATACACAAATAACAATGCAAACTTATAGGTTGTGTACCCGAATCTTCCCCTGCTCCAAACGGTCCAAACAAACTAGGAATAGCATCGTCCTTCAGTTTCAAATGCTGTGCATATCCGGCCTCAAACTGGGCAATGTTTTGGAAGCTTTCGTCTGTGAAATGCCGCGCACACAGTAACGTTCTTCGAACCTCTGAAGGAACAGTGTTAAACAGAAATTTCAACCACTGACTTCGTCGTGGGTTCTTCCGTCGGTAGGACAAACAGCTCAGATTTCTCCTCACATTTCAGGAAACAGGTCCTTGGCAGTGGCATGACTGGATCGATTGTGAACTGAACCAGAGCTTCCAACAGTAAATGTTAGGCTGGCAGAGGGTGCGGCCAGCGCCGCCGGGTGTGGCCATAGCTCTTCCGGATTGGTCCATTTTGTTCCGGGTACGGCATGACATCATGCCGTACCCGGAAGAATCAAATGGACAATGACGTATCTCCAACGAGGCGTTTTGGGGAGGTATTTTCTGTGTTAGAGTTTTACTCGCTACAGGGTGTACTTTGAGGGTTTTGACTCTGCACACCGTTTACATGCATAAAAACCTTCATAACACACAAGGGGACGGGTAATAACCGGAAAAGCATGACATGTGTCCTTTAAGTTGTTTTGGAATAAAGCATCAGCTCAACGACGTGTTAACGTGTCTTCCTCTCTCTGCTGTTCCTCTTTAGACGGTGCTGACCGTACATCAACGATATGAAGCGGAGACCTGAGCGAGAGCAGTGGGACGGCGCGGGTTCACGAGGCTCTCTCACGATAAGTCACCTCGAGGCCACCAGCCCTCCTGTCCCCTCTGCTTGTAGCCAATGGTAGAGCTCAACCAAAGGATCGGGGCGGGATTCAAGACCCCCCAGAGAGCGCCATCATCAAACGGCTAACGCTATCACATTGGCACCGTCCATCGGGTCGGAAAAAAAACACTTCCTGCTCCGCCAGCATCTGGGTGAGGAGAGAGGACAAGCCTTGAACACGGTCTGGACAGTGTGTGAACAGCGCCCCCACCCCCTGACCCCCACCCTCCGGCAGGCCAGAAGCAGTACTGCAGGCCAGCAGAAGGGAGACGCTGGCCTGCGGATCGGGGCCCGGTAACACTGAGGCCCCTTCCCTCTCCGACACCCTCGGACCCCCCTTCCCCCCCCCTCCCCCAGCACATCATCGACCACAGCTCGTGGCATTCTTCAAATCCATTACAGTACCTCAGAGCCAAAAACAAGACGAGCTAAGAGGAAGTTTGGGATTTCCTTGACTGTATTCGTCCAGCAAGGATGTTTGTAGAGCTCGGGAAGGGCCTCTTGCTCAGTATTTGGGGGGGGGGGGGGGCAAAACAAAATCATTTATTTGTATTGTATGTATTTATTGTTTACATAACGATGCTACTTTCAAAGGGTACAAAAACATGTATGAATTTCAGGTATGAATCGTGAAATTTTCTGTAAAGCCTTGGCTGTCTACCAGCTTTACGTCCCGAGTAGCCATCACGCTAGTTTACAACCAACGTGCTTATTCTTTATTTTAGCAGCCAAGACATGTCGGCTTGAACAAGAGAGAGAAAGAGAGAGGAGGGGGAGAAAGAGGCAGGTGTGTGGAGATGAGAGGTAGGAGAAAGATACAGGATGTAGTAGAAAAGAGAGTGGAGCTGAGGTGAAACTGGAAAGGGAAGCGGATGTTTAAAGGAGGACGGCGTCAGAGGCGGGACCTCTGATCAGCCGAACACGACCGAGGAAGATGACGCCATGTCTAATCATGTTGTTCACATGAGCGAGTGTCGGAGGAAGTGAGTTTGGCAGCGGTCAGTTACACATTGTTTATCCACAGCATGTACTGTATGAACTCTTTTGAATTCAGAGCCTTTGTAGGCAACAATACATTGAAAATGTAGAGTTTTTTTTATAAATGGGAGATTGATATTGTCAGTGGGATCTGTCTGCATGTTCAGATACTGGGTTTAGTTTGTTTTTTTAAAGCAGGGTGATATGCTTAAGCTGCATGTTACAACTAAATATCTTTTTTGGGGGGTACAGGAAGATTGTGAAATGTGGAGAAGACGACAGAGAAAACAAAACAAGAGGGCTATTTGGCTTCCACTCAGACCATGTTGCAACATGGGAGAAATCACACACTGTCAATCCATGAAGGGTAGCTTTCCCAGAGATTGTCTCATTAGTGCTTACCTCCACCTGCTGGCCGACCGCAGTCAGAGCGGGGCAGACGCCTGTGAACACGCAGGCAGATTATACACAGATCATTTATGAGCGTTATAATTAGGAAATGTTAATGCTGCAGGAAATCCCTCACAGATCGCTGTGTCACATGGTCTTCTGTCTGCTCCGGGCCTCTATAGAATTTATTTTCTTTCTTTTTTAAATACTGACTTCTGGTTATTCTGTGTCTTAATATTTATCCTCCGTTTATTGTGTCTGGTAGACAGACTTCATAAGAACAGATTGATGGAAAATAAGCTGGTATGAAAACTCTCCAACTAAACAGTCACCATCCAGGGTTATTGATTATTATTGTTTCGTTTCGTTTCCTTAGTTTGTTGCAATTCTATAGTACTTCCTTTGTATCCTGCACTTGATATGATAATGTGATACACTAAAATCCAGCTTTGGAGTCGGATCACATGGAGCAGATTGGAGGCAGAAGTGGAGCGGTAGAACCACAACAGGTGGCCATTATCCCGCCGCTTTGTTTCTTTGAGTCTGACGGTGGATGTTGGAGCTGAAGATGCTTTGTCTTCTCATGTCGCTCATCGCTAGAGGACCATGCCAGGGTTTGTGCACGTTTTGCTCATTAACAAACCTTTTAAAACACTCTGTGTTACTATAAACTATACTTATTTTATGTGTTTCCAACCTTCAAGGTTGCACAGGAAAGAAAATAATGATAGAAATAAAAAACACTACAGGACAATACATTCAGTGTGTGTCTAAAGAGCTCAAACATGCAGAAGAACTGTGATGGTGCCTGAGAGTGGATCAGATGCAGTGATGGCGGCTTGAAGCTGCAGTCTGGATCAGTGCACACACACACACCACAGGACAGTGTATGTGTGTTAGTGACAACAGTGCACTGCCTCAGTCGTGTGTGTTTTCTGCACCTTGAGTCTGTAGCCAATCAGAAGTGGTCTACACGTTTGAAGATGAAGATTCCACCAAAGCATGAACTGATGTCACACCTTTCTGTCTGACGCTCTTCGCTGAGAAGCATCGGAGCCTGTTCCGATGTCACTGCCATATGAATCAGTACTTAAAGTAGATACAATTATTTATTCTTTTTTTCATAATTTTTGCAGAGGTGATACTTTTACTCATTTAGGTGTATTATTATTTAAAGTACCATATGTATTAACATGTTATGGCTGGTGACCATACGTACATCTCAAATATTAACATAGTTATTATTGACTTTGACTGTTAACTTTTCTTTCTCGTCGTTGCTGTTGTTAAACTATAATCTTGTTTGTATCTATCAGTGTCATGTTGAGATTAGTTTTCATGTGAACTCGGAGCGTGATGCGTGTTCAGTTACCAAATTCACTTCAGAAGAACTGTCAGCAAACAGAACCAGCGGGGTGTTGTTGTAGGCTTTGGCATGCCAGGAAGTAGACTGGTCCATTGTGACCAGTTACCACCTCACTGCATGGTCCTGAGGTGAACAATCTAGGTTGAAATGTGTGTTACTTTAAAGAATGAGGCTGGCATTATTCGACATATCATAATGTCAACAAATCCTATGAAAAGACCAAATTCTAAAGATGTAGACTTTCAAAAGGAAACGGTGCATTTGTTGGGGACTATTTCCAGCAGCGGATGAATCTATATTTGGTGCTCTATGGATGATTTGAGGCAGCAGGACATTGTATGATGGATTGACTGAAATGAACTACAATAGTTTTGCATTGTAAGGAAGGAACACGTCAACCAGTGCAACAGTGAGGCTTATCGATGTGTGTTTTGAATCGTTTGGTAAGAGTATTATAGCAAAGAAGTGATATCAGGATTTGATACACAGTGTTGGTTTTGGTCTTTTCATAGGATTTGTTTATGTTAAAAATAGTAGAGAACATCACCAGACCTGTCCTTTACACATCATGTGTTAAGATAAACCAACCTGCAGTCTGTAATGTAATCAAAGGGATTATTGAAACTGTCGTACACTTGCAGTATTTTTATTTACTTCACCTTGCCATGTTTGAGTTATAAAGGTGTTGAAACAAAGTTTTTAGTTTTGCATAAAAACACTACTTTTTGTCTGTGACTGACAGCATTCATAACCTGAGTTTATGGGATGTTTCTATGCGTGCAGAGTAACATAGTAACGTTCCATGTTGTGTATTTGCAGTCACAGAGCGTCTGTGTGACGGGACAGTGGAGAGTTACAGCTCTGAGGGTCATTACACATCTCTTCAAACCAAATGCTTTATTTGTTCTAAATGCATATCAGCTCTGTGGGAGTCCAGGAGTGCTAACGCTGTGCTCACTGCAGTATTAACCGTTAGATATCGCCTTGATATTCCAAAAAAAACATTTAATGTACTTTAAGTTGAGACATATATGCTGTTTTGTATCTTTTACTTTTTGTCATAGGTTCTGCAGTTTTAGTATGTTGATATGGGATGCCAAGATTTCTCTTTTGTCTCTGTATGTTCAGCAGCATCCATTCTGTAACTAAGTGTTACCGCTTGACTGCTCCTTTATTTCATTTCGTTTTATTTTATCAAAGAGCCGATGTCCTGTATTGACTGCAGGCTTACATATATATTTGACAAAAGAATATTGTATGTTTAATAATAAAAAAACTCAAAAAGACAAAAAAGTGCAGAAAAAAAGAAATGGAGAAAATTGAAAGAAAAAAATGTGTAATTTATATTTTCAAAGTGCATGCACGAGGCGGGGGACGTCATATTTAGAATAACAAATGGCAGTGCCTTTTTTTGTACTCGAGACATTCACCCCAAATGTAAATGGTTTTATATAGACTTTAAAAGCTGTTGTGTTACAGGATGAAACGGCTGTGTCGGGCCACACTCACACTGCAGCTGCACGTCCCCGTTCAGACCCCCCCCCCCCACAGTGTTATGTAGATAAGGAACAGATGAAAGTGTTAACTCATCCAAGGATTGTCTAGATGTAAACCTGATCCACATGAGCATACTGAACACATGAAAGAGAGTTATTTTAGATTCGAGGAGACAATTTATAATAAGCTGACTATTTTCTTATTTAATTTGTCATTCATTCAGACTCAAATCTGTAGTAAAAATGTCTGGTAACTTCTTTCCATTGACCAAAATGAGATTAAAATGAGAAGAGAAAGGAATCGTCTAATATTTCCTCCATGTGTTTAACACTTAGTGTTCATGTAGACAGTACATCAATGTGGCAGCAATACTGACCAAGCAGAAGCTGAAACCATGAACACTGACTTGTACTTTCTTATTATAGTCAATTGTATTTAGATTAGCTTAGTCTTTACACGTAGACAATCATCTAAATGAATCCTCTGAGGACACAAGTTGAGGATCTGGAGAGAATATGATCAAGTTTCACCCAAATCCAATTCATAAATCAAAGCGAAACTCAATAAGTGATGTCCAGTTTACTGCACATGGTTGAAAATAAGTATTTTAAACTTTAGGCAACATTTAAAGCATCTTCATGTTTGATATTTGCTGCTCTCAAAAGCTAAATGTGATCAAACACAAAGTTGATCTGAATGTAGCGTGGGGGGTGCAGTGTGAGCGAGGCCCGGGCGGTGAACTGGGTCTGTTGTTTTCTGTCCTCTGTAGGTACTTAATGCTGATATAAAGTTATGAATTGCTCTGGTCTGTACAAACATGTGTGAATGAGTGTGAATGTGAGTGTGTGTGAAAACATTCAAGTGTTATTCAATGTGTCTTGCTGTATCTGTGGCGACGTACCAGAATGCTGTGACTTGGCATGCCCCCGTTATACATAAAGAAAAGTTGTAACTCCTCCAGCGTCTGTGTGTGTGTGTGCGTGTGCGTGTGCGTGTGTGTGTGTGTGCCTGTGCGTGTGTGTGTGTGTGTGTGACAGTAACAGGGTTTACATGGCCGTTTGTAGTGTTTTAATTCAGATGAAGCACCTATTCTGCCGGTGTAGATCTGCAGGTTTGAGATGGACTTACAGCATCGGAAAACAATTTAGCGCTTGATATCATACATTAAAGAACAAAGAGAAATGTCAACTGTTGGATTTTCCCTTTCACATAGAGTTATATGTGTTTGTATGTAAATGAATGCAAAGGCTAAATTCCCAAAGTTCCTCTCTCCCACACACTCCCCCCCACCCTGCCTGAAACTCCTCCATTGGACTCCTTTGTATATTTATGTAACATAGTGACATCACTATGTAACACTCATGCTTCTATTGGCTAGTGCTCCAACACATTGTACTTGATAGGCTGAAGGGCGGCACATATTTAAGCCCTTGACCAATAATATTAGAGCTGGCCTGCTTACCAATCAGAGCACATTTACTCACACACATTTGAAGTAGACTTCATGTCTTAGTCTTTTATTTTCGTGCCACTATATATTTCTATTCTCGTAGGGTGTTTTTTCCCCAATAGCTTTATTTATTAATTTGAATAACTTCACAAATCAAGATTTTTGCAAACAAAACATGATTCTGTTTTTTTTATTTTTAAGAAATCATATTTTGTCCCCCACATACTAACAACCTAAAAGATAATTTTAAACATATTTTCACACGCTGAAAGTAACCTTAACTTTGAATCAAGACTACTCAGGGAACTGTTGAGGAAGGGCGTGCACTATTCTGTGACACAGTGTCTTATTGATATTTACCACTGGAGGGTGCTACAGTCGTAGTGACTGCAATGAAAAACTAGTTAATATTTATAATACTTTCTTTGTGATCCAAATGTAACACAAACCAATCACTATATTATCAGTAAGGGTGTGATACCATACACTCCTATTGTGTCAGTGACACATTTGTACACTATCAAACGACAGTAAAGCCTGAGCATGCTCTGTGGGTCTTTCACCTCTCTGGATGTCCTCAACCAGGTAACGTCAGAACAAACTACGAAGGTTTACATTGTAGAGTGTAACACACTGTTAGAGGAGGCAGATTAAAAACCAGAGCCTCTGCTTAATGAAATACATGGATGTGATGTAACAGATCTGAGAGCTGCTGAGTCATGCCTCTGTCAGACATCCAGACCCCGACCAGCTCACTGGGCTCAGGGCCAGATGAACCCTCTCATTGGCCAAGGGGCGTTAAAATAGAGCTGTGGGCCCCTCTTGTTCTTCACAACCAGTTTGGATCCTTCCATATATGTTATGAGCTTGTTGCTTCCAGCTGTTACAGGTTCAGCGTGAACCTTCAGCCAGAACAAAGGTAACACAAGTAAAAACATCAATTCTTCATTGTTACAGTACTCCGTTACCAAATATACCGTAAAATAACACATTATGGAGTATTATTATCTTTTCAGAATAGAATATATATTATTTTACTGGATTTTGTAATGAATTTTTTAGTAATCCTAATACCTGAATCAAATTCTTTAAAAAAGAAAGGAGCTACATGTTTGTATGTGATACTAATGAATCACTTTAAAAGATGTATTATAATATAAATAGCTAACATTTACACAGCCTTTTTGTATCGTGTAGCTATGATGCTAGCAGAGAAAGACAATATAATGGGTTCAGTTTAAGTCAAGTGAACATACATGTGAGTTGTGTGTGGTGTGTTGTGAGGAGACACACACTTGTTGCTGTCACATAGAGATTTATTTTCTTTGATTAAAAAGTATCTGGAATGAACAAAGTACAGAAAGTGACACTGATGGTGAAGGGGCCACACAACAGGCCGCACTTCTCAACAAGGCCACAAAAACAACATCATCAGAGCCGACTCTTAGGGCTCATCTCTCCTTGAAAACACACATAGACACACACACACATTGAACTCCAGTCACCACATTTGATTGCATCATTACGCAATCAAATGCTAAAAGTATGCTACACGTGGAAAAACAAAGTCACTAAACAACACACACACATTTAATTTGCCTCTTGAGAAATTCAAAATGTTTCAGTTTGCTTTAAGACGGTGAGTATTCATAAAGAGGCGAGTTGGCACATACAGGCTGGTCCACGCAGGACCGTAATATTATTTATAATTTATTTTAAAACGTAATGTGAAAAATTAGAATACTGTTTTTTCTCTCAGATGCAGATGTTTTACTGCAGGTAATCCAGCGATGTCCAAAAAATACATACTGTGATGAACCATTGTGTTCATCAATGTTGCAAACTATTTTCTACCAATACTGTTTTTTATGTAATCCTCCAACAGTAAACACTGCTTTTAATCCTCTAATATTCATGTATTTGGGAGACACATCATCTCTCACAAAGCTTCCCTCAGCCAAACATGTTTTCTGAATTCATCTCAGACCAAAACGTTTTTTTGTCTTTTGTCTAACTTGGACAGGTATGAGCTACTCTTGGCCTCATGATGTTTTGTGAATATGTCTCCGGCTATTTATAAGGATCAGTGAGGATACTTTACATCACATAGCACATTTTAGTTTTGTCTATTTGTATCTGACTATGTATTAAAGGGATTTCAAACAGTCTTCTTTTTAAACTGTCCCCTGTATTTCCAGGAAAACAAAAAACACAAAAAAACTCACATAGATCAAAGGGGGGTAAATTTGTCCTAAAAAGTAAACAACATGTTAATCTGTGGCCTCCAACACAGAAATCACCACGGTAACGCTTCACCTTATCTGACCAATACAAAGAGTTGGATGGAAAACAGTCAGGAGTGGACTCTTGTCTCTGCTGTTGGTGACACGGACACACACACACACACACACACACACACACACACACATACACACACACACACACACAGTGCCCATGTACAACATGCATACATCCCTTCAGGGGACATTACATTGACTTACATGCATTTCCTGGAGACTTATCCTAACCTTAACCATAACCAACACATGCCTAACCCTAACCCTTACCCTTACCCTAACCTATTATTCACCCTAAAATTAATGATTCCCCTCATGGGGACCTCCATTATGACCCCATAAGGGAGGCGAGTCCCCACACGTGACTGTGTAAACAGATTTAGGTCCCCACAATATAGTAATGCTAGGACACACACACACACACACACGCACACACACACACAGGTAGCCCGGCGGCTGTTCCGTGCAGGTGGAGGTAACCCCAGGCAACAGGAGGATGAAGAAGAGCTTCTTCGTCCTCAGCTCCTGATCAGCGTCAGAAACTCATCGCGAGTTTTCGGATCTTCCCTGAAGACTCCCAACATGGTGCTGGTGATGGTTTTACTGTTCATCTTCTGAACGCCTCGCATCACCATACACATGTGACTGCAGAGAGGAAGAGGGGGGGGGGGGGGGTAGAACAACAGGCAGAGGGGGGAAGGAAGAAAGGAAGATAAATATGAAAGATGAAATGTAAAATACATATAGTTTAAAGGGGTCATATTATGCTTTTCAGGGTTTCCCTTTCCTGCAGTCTGTTATATTGGTTTTTGTGCATGTAAATAGTCTGTAAAGGCTCAAATCCCAGAGGGGGTTTCTCTAGGAAATGATGTGATTGACAGAAGAGTAGAAGGTGGAAGAAAAGAGGAGAGAAAGGAATTAAGATGAAGGAAATCAAACCAAACTAAAGGAGAAAGGACAAAGGTCTACGTACGTTGCCTCGATGACCACTCCCACCCCGGTGGGCTGCAGGGCCTCTGTGATCGCCACGGCTATCTGTTTGGTCAACCTCTCCTGAACTTTGAACAGACAGAGGGACAAACATGAACCCGGTTAGACAGAACAAGCAACATGAAGTGAAACAAATGAAAGCACTGGACTGATCTACGTACCTTGTAGTCGACGGCTGTAGATTTCAACAATCCTGAAAGGGAGAGAAAGTAAATGCTCAGTCGATAACATATCAATGCCTTCTTCTTCTGTGCCCTACAGCTCTATTGTTGTCAAATAAATAATACAATTAAAACACACAGGAAGGAAGCAGAAGGAAAATGAACAGATCTGGGACCCGGGCATCACCTCCGACCTGTTGCTCTTCTCTGTGAGTAAAACTACTTCAGACACTTTTCACCTCATCCACCTCCAAGGAAATGTCAACAGGACCAAATGTGCAGCATGAACAGAGGTAAGGCATTCTTAAAGGAAAGGAAAAGTGCGGCTGCATACAAAAAATAAAAAGCTGCTTCAAAGAAGACGAGGAAATGCCCTTCGTCCAGTCAGTCGTTCACTTGTGAGGAATTACGTTCTCAAAAATATATTCTCACAATAATTCCACTGTTTGCAATTTTTCCACTTTATTATATGTTCTGTTTACTTGAATATATATTTAAGATGATTAATCAAGACCCTAGATTTACGAAGCCATGATTTCCCATGAAACAGTCCCATAGTATTTCTTCATTGAAGTCTCAGGTTGAGCAGGACATGAAAGGGACATTTATAAGATTCAATTAGCGCCAATAAAATGTGAATGGATCAGCTGTCCTCATCGTCGTCATTGAGGGGTGTTACTGCAATAAGCCTGAAGGTATTGGGGTCAGTCGGATCAGATTCTACACTAGTAAACACAAACACACACACACACACACACACACACACACACACACACACACCTTTTAATAATCAGCTTAAATTCACAGACGCTCTCACTCTTTTTTTCTCTCTCTCTCTCTCTCTCTCTCACTCTCTCATACACACACACACACACACACACACACACACACACACACACACACCACACACACACACACACACACACACACACACACACACACACACACGCGCCTTAACAATTAGAGTAAATGGGCTCACCTGGCCAGCTTACTGAGGCCCAGAACTCTCTTGTTGGGAAGGTAACCGATGTGGACCTGCAAACAGTGGGATTAAAAAGATGAAGTAATCTAATAAGAGATTAAATAATTGGGATGAATTACAGTCTGCTTTCCGTAATGAAAGGACTCGTGCATCTCATGTGAGCTCAGGTCAAATGTGAGCCAGTCTCTCTGCTGCGGTGGTTTAATGGAGAATATAATGTAAAGTAAAAATCAATCTGCAGTACAATATCACATCCATGGTCCTCAGAGGAGGGTTCCTAATGTATTTAGGTGAACATGTTACCCTTGACCACCACTTTAAAAAACGACTTGCTCTCAACACTGCTAGATTTGATTTATCTGTGGGCTTTCACTGCCCAGCTTAGTTGGCAATGATTTCACTAATAGCAGCAACACACATCATTTCAGATGGAGTTCATCATGGTTATTCTTTCTGGAAGAATAGCATGCGACATAGGGAATTCAATTGATTATCTAACATGCAACCTTACATTTTCCCGGGGGGCCCAATTGGGGGCGTCAGATACAAGTTGTGATCACAACATCAACATTTTCACCCAAAAAAATTGATTGTTTGTGTCCGCCTGATGGATGTATTTTGGTCCCTTCAGCTGCTGATTAATCCTCTATGTTCAGGAGTGTCTGTCTGCTGTTTGCTAGGAAGTGTACAGTGGGTTTTACAGCTGATTCTCTGGAAACGGCTGCCTGCTGCGGCTGAAAACAACACTTTAAGAGTCAACAATGATCTGAAAGGCAGTTTAAAGCTCTGCAAAGCTGTGTCAGCAACATACAAACTGCCCTAGCTTTAGTTAAAGGTTAAGGTTACGGTACAATTCACAGTTTGTATCAACATATAAGCTTTGTCATGTTTTCCTCCTCCAACTGAAGTTTTGGCTTAGTGTTATTTACTTTACTTCAAGAAAATTCCACAACAATATAAAAAATGTTGTGGTATTCCTGAAAAAGCAGATGTTTTCGCTTAAGTGTACTTTAAGTTAAGTGAATAACAGTTTTGAAACACACACTAAACGACCAGAAATCTAGATGACACACTGAGAGCAGAGCAGGTGGATGAACAACAGACGAGAGGAGGAAGAGACGGAGGCATCAGCTGAAGAATCACTGCTGTGGATGTCTGGAGGCTCTAATTCTGACACACACACGTCACACACACACACACACACACACACACACACTCAAATGTCAGACACAATTTGAGACAAGACGAGAGAAAGGGCAGCGGCAACAAGCGTGCAAATATCTCTTTTCTTGTGTTTCCTCCCTCTCTACTGGAGCGGCCTGACATATCGACATCAAACAGACCGACTGTGACGGCTCCTTCTCCACTTATCTTTCATGCTGTCTTTCTTTTTTACTGGCAAATCCTGGGTTTGACGATAGGGCAAGGTTAAAAATAAATAAATGTGTTTAATTTAAGCAAATTTAAGTTAAAAGCCTAAAAAAGCTCTGATTGATCCAGCAATAAACATCTGATGGACAATGTCAGCAAGCTGGGGAAGAAAGTGAAACTTTTAGCCGCTAAAGAGACAAATATTGTTGGTGGAGGGGAAAAAGAGCGAAGGGGAGTGAATATGACCCCAGATGAGGGCTGATGTTGCTCTGTGTCTAATAGATGTGCACAGTATAAGCAACTGTTTGCAACATGTTAAAGCGAACAACTTTACAGGACGACAATATGTTTCCACTGTGTGTCTGTCAATCATTCTGCCCTCTTGTGGCCAAAACATCTCAATTAATGTAAAAAAACTGACGGTATTAAACATATCGGCAGTTAATTCCATAAACCTAGCTAAAACTAGAAAAAGCCTTTCACAACTGTTGTATTTTAATTTAGGAGGATACAGTTTGTGGTGCTGTTAAATCATATTGACTCATATACTGGCTCTTCTATTATTTTGTCCACCCCATTTATATCAATAAAGAAAGGCTAAATCAAAGCCTATAAAGTTAAATCAGCACCTTACATTAGAATAAAGAAGCATTTATTGTAGAGTGGTTGTATTAGACTACAATTTAGACAGTTGTCCCTAATAAACAGGGAGTGTAAATGAAATATGTAATCCTATGGCTGCTTTATTCCATCAAATGAAAAATACTTTGGATGTGCATCCCTTCATACGTACACACTAGCCATCCATCAATTGTCAAACTATACAACGTTTGTTAAAGTTTCTGAAAGAGCTGCTGGTCAGAAAATACATCAAGACAAGCAAATGGTCTTTTGACTTAAAAGTTCGTTTTACACCTTCCTTTATCAAAACATTAAAAGATGCATTATTGCCATTTAATGAGAGTTTTAACCAGTTAAGCCCTGAGCCTGTTTTTCAGGTCTCAGGCTCGAAAATGACATTCCCAGAACAAATGACCATATCTTCCCTTCTAAAAGGGTTAAATTAATAATCTTTATTCTCAAAGTAATGATAAACCTGTGAGTTGGATGTAGAAAAGTCAGAATCAATATAGATGTTTTTTATTTTAAAGTAAATTCAGATTGAACATAGTAACAAACTGTAAATTATAGTGTCCGTCCAAAAAAAGTAATTACTTATAGTGAAAACCACCCTTGAATGATGGGATAGTAGACTAAAAGCTTTAGGAATCCAGACTATAACATATAATAAGTACCCTGTATCAAGATTGATGCAAAACAAGTGAAGTTTGACATTTCTAGAGAGATTTAGCAAAAAGAACCCACTTCTGGGGTCATTTGGGTGATTTTCCATATCTCTGGCCCCCGTCGTTCGATTTTGATGATTGACACCTCTTTTGAACCGTTAGAGCCAATAGAATCGAGGGGAAGTTCCTAAAATCCATCTAAACATTACCCATTGGTGAATGAGTGCTGCGCAGCCAGAATGCCGCGGAACCGGAAGTTGCAATACACTCTGGTGGCTATCATTAGCAGCTAATATAAAATATCCGATTTTTCCATAACAATGGAATTATGGATTATCAATCATTTTTTCAAAGTGACAGACACATTGGATTAACCATTGGATTAACCTTCAGCCGCGTTTTTTATCGTTTTAATGCCATTGATAACGTCTTTTGATCAGAACAACAGCTAAGGTGAGACGATCTCCTGTGAATGCTCCGTAAAGCTACGTGTTGTGACGTCTGTGTTTGCTTCCCCTGTCGCGAGTTCTTATCGCTCAGTGATGATAGAATCTGTGGAATCTCAGCTTTAATCTGATATCTTGCAGTTACGATAAGTAATAAGGGTATCTTTACCTTGAGTTCTGTGCTAAGTGCGTTAGCATTTTTTCGCTCAGGGGTCATTTAGACGCTTCTTATGAGACTTGTGTTTTGTTTTGGTAAAAATGGTTCATATCTTCAGTTACCTGAGTTTCTTCCCGTTAATCTGGTATGACACACATTAATAGGTTTTTAAATATTAAGAAGCCCTGAGACACAGTTTCGTGAAAAAATAAATAAATAAAATTAGGCCGTTATTTACAGTGTAGTTTATCTTCACAGGCTGACAGACAGTGGCTAATCTCAGGGTAAATGACAGCCTGTAATAAACTGGAGTTGTGCTGCAGACACTCAAAGAGGAGGAAGAGGAAGAGGAGGAGGAGGAAGAGGAAGAGGAGATGAGTCACTGAGACACGTAGATGAGAGAGGCTAGATAAGAGGCAACGCTGCTGACGATGAAGAAGGGAGGGAGGATGTTCAGGGACATAAACAGCCACCTGATGGCCATCATCCACAACACACACACACACACACACACACACACACACACACACACACACACACACACACACACACACACACACACACACACACACACACACCACACACACACACACACACACACACACACACACACACACACACACACACACACACACACACACACACACACACACACACACACACACCACACACACACACACACACACACACACACACACACACACACACACACACACACACACACACACACACACACACACACTAACACAGGAGGTGTTGTTAGTGTGTGATTCACTGCTGTCATCAGAGCCCATTTAAAGCGGTGAGGATCAGCTGCCAGCCCGTATTGTCTTAAACGCTGTGCACCTGCGGGTGAGGGTGGGTGAGGGGAGCAGGGGGGGGGGGGGGAGGATCAGAGAGAGGGAGGAGGACAATCAGGTTCCTCAGCAGAGAGTAATGCTGTGAGCGCAGCAGGGAGGGAGGATAAACAGATCTCAGCTAATCTGATTGTCTCTCATGTTGCTGTTGTTCCGATCAGCGGCCCTCTGATAAAGGCTTCTCAAGATACACATCTCTCACCATGTTTGAGACAAGCTTTTTGTATTAAATTATCGATATTTGCAGCTTCCTCTTGGAAAAAATGGCCCCTTTATGATCAGAAAGCAAAGCGGCTCAGCTGCAGATAAGATATGTTTTTTGTATTTGACCTGATGTGCAGTTTACTTTTTGGACTGTGACAATGTGCTGTGGACACTGAAGACAGCATATCTGGATGGACAATTGTTTTCCATGGCAACCTTTGTATTTTATTTTATGTGTGCCAGTGTGTGTATTGGGTTTGGGGTCCGTGTGTAGTTGTCTCTTGTTAGAGATTATGTTTATATTTTTTCTAAACATAACAAAAATACATATTTATCATGTATCAGTTTCATTTATATTTCAACATTCTGCCTGTGTAAACTAGGGATGGGATGGCAAATGTATATTCGACCCCCAAAAAAACAGTTAACCGATTAACCGAAATGTACATATCCTATAAAAAAAAAAAAGATGTGGGGAAAAAAATGTACAAAAAAAATATATTTAATTTTGAAAAATAAATAAATACATGTTCAAATAAGTATAGAAACCAAGTCGAATTTGTCAAATGTATTGAACTGGTGATCACAGTTTGAACAGTTGACAGCTATAGGCCTACAGCTTTCATGCTTAAAACATAACTTGTTTTTTAAATGAAAGAGGGATCATACACGAACAACATAACGGGTTAGGGTAACGTAACCCTATTACAACAGAGATCAACAACCTATAACAGGGCCTATGCACAGAATGCAGCTATTCAATACTCATTCTTGTTTAAGAATATGAGCATGCCTACATGCTCAGGGGAGAGGCGGGTGCGGAAGCGATTCACAATCAGGCCAGCTGTAGAGAAGACCCTCTCAGCTGGAATTTGGGCATAAGATGAGGTTTGAGTCTGCGTGATCTGCGTGTAGGGAGGGGCAGCAGCCATGTCATTAGCTAGAACTAGACCTGATGGATTTGGACATAAACGCGAGTGAAGTATAACCGGACGCGAGAGAGAGAGATCAGCACCTGCAGCTCTGCCCGCTGTGAGGGACCGGTGAGCGGAGCTAAACACACCTTTAGACCTAACACATTTAGCTATGGCACTGTCGTATACATTGAATTATTCCATTTCATAAATTATGTAATCAACTTAGGCACCCCTCCCAAAAAATAAAAAAAATAAATAAAATAAAAATAAAAATATTCATAACTCATATTCCAATACCTGATGCCTGAATAATTTCGAATATTCGATTAATCGTTCCCATCCCTAGTGTAAAAGCTTTGTTTTGGATATTCAAGATTTTAAGTCCTTCAATTAATATTTTACATTTAACTTTGTAGTTTAGAGATCGATAAGAAGATTGACACCATCTACGAGTCTGCTGAAAACAAGAAGCTACAGTTTAACATAAAGTCAATAAGATATGTGTATCTTTTAAACATTTTTAACTTGTTGATGCTTGACACTGCTGCTGGAGCAATATTATTTGCCAATTTGGGATAAATAAAGTATATATCCATCTATCTAGCTTAGCTTGAAGAGTGAAAACTGGAACAAACAGCTAGCCAGAGTCTGTGCAATGTAAAACCAACCAACACCTCTAAAGCTCAATGTTGGGGAAATATTAGTCAGTTTATCAGTTTGTACTGCCCTCGCTGAGCACAGCTGCCCTCTAGATAGTCTCCCTGTTCCTGCCTGTTGGCGTCAGCTGATAGAGGTGTCAGCCCGTGTCTGCAGCACATGTCTTGAATTCTCCAGCCGAGGCTCCAAATAAACCATCTCATAAATCCTGTTTTACCAGGAGCAGATTATTTTCTATAGCCAAGAAATAGTTTGGCACAACTTCTGATTTCCTTTAGATTTCAGAATTGAGAAACATTGTGTAAATAAGTGAGCTTTAGGATCTTTTTTGGTACTTTAATATCTTTTTTCAATGTCAAACTTTGGAGGGATGGTGGTATTAGAGGAAATGCGGGTCACCAAACAGATCCAGATTAACCCTCTGGGGATCATGAATATTCACATCATGTGTTGTATATAAATGAATATCCACCAGCATCTTTCAACAGAGGGAGAACAGCTGTTTATGCTCACCCTGCCAAAGATGGGCACCAGGTGATGTTCACACATGGAGAACATGTCGATGTCTTTGACGATCACCATCTCGTCGTGGTCCTCGTCGAAGATGGCGTCGTTTAGCACGTCTGCTGGAGAAAAGGAATATTCATGAGAAGAGAGGGGGAAAGAATCTCCTAAATACCCCAAACAAGTATGCTTTGCAAGGGGTTATCTCTGGTTCTTTTTTAACAATGTCCCTTAGGCGATGGACGGATGGAAACAACCCGGGACACCAGGTTCACCTCCACCGATGATCCGCTACTTTTTATCTCAGATTTGGTGTTCCTCTGGCAAACACAGAGGTCTAATTATAGCTCGGCCTCCATATGCTCCTTCCTGTTGTTGCTTTATTGGAATTTTCAGTCGCCGGGGGTTCAATAAACCGCTTTATCTGTTTGTGACGACGCAGGCGCCGCTCGCTCTCACCGCCGCGTTTTTTAATTTCCTGACTGGCTATCTGTTGGAGGGAACTGGGAGGGGGGGGCAGAGAACAGACTTGTTGCTTCAGTCTTTGCAGCTCATTGAGCGACTCTGTGTGTAAACAGGACAGAAGGTCGTTTAACGCTTTTAAGGTCTCTTTTTTTACCATTTTTGTTTGTCTGATTATGACGCAGTTTGTCACGATGCCACGGCACACCTCTCTAACCAACATCACCTTTTGTCTCATGTCTCTTGATCCTATATGAGACTTTTGACAGCTGAGTCTCTGCAGATGAGGCGTACTGCTTTGGATCAACTCTTCTCCTGTGACTTGAGAACCCCTTTGTGTAATCTTTTTTCACAACTTAGGTCACCATCAGACGTTGTTTGATGTATCAAATTCATTCATTAATTTAGATTTTAGCTGAGGCTGAGAGTAATTTCATTAGTTTTGCAAGAACTTGGCCAAAAAACCACAGATTTTGTTAAATTGTACAAACGGAAAATGTATGTGTACTAATTACTAACTGTATCTTTCTTCTGTTGGCTGCTACCCCAAAACACATTGATTATATCTGCTTTAATAAAAATGACCTCTCAGCATCCTTAACAGTGTCGTTATGATATCTGATAGAAAGCAAAACTACAGAAATTAAATTAAAGTTGTTGTAAAAAAACTCTGATTACAGATGTTACACTGTCAGTTACCGTACAAGTTGCATCTCTCTCAAGAGGACAACCCACGGACAACACACACACGCACGCGCACCCTCAGGGAAAATAACATTATGTCAACCTTAACTGGATAAAGGGCAGCTGGTGAGGACTGCCGTTTTGGACGCCCTGGGTGAAAGTATCAGGTAATGACAGGCTTACTCATCATCAGCTCCACATTCAATAGTGTTGCCGTGTGTGTGTGTGTGTGTGTGTGTGTGTGTGTGTGTGTGTGTGTGTGTGTGTGTGTGTGTGTGTGTGTGTGTGTGTGTGTGTTTGAATCAATACAAGACACAAAAGCCACATGTTGACACGTTCTGAATGCAGCAGGAAACAGTGGAGTGAATGGCTAATTAACAGAGGTTATTCACTTATTGTTTGGCAGCCATAACACTGCGTGCGTGCGTGCGTGCGTGTGTGTGCGTGCGTGTGTGTGTGTTTACGTGTGTGTGTGTGTGTGACATTTCTCTCTCTCGCACACAAACATGCACACACACACACACATTTCCTATACATAGTCTTAACCCCTGGGCTGTATTCATGAGTCACCCCTGTACATCCCGGCCTCGACATAGAAACCTTGTTTATTTCCCAGTTTGACATCCCATAATATTCAGTGTTCATGCTGTTTTCAGAGCTGCTGAGTTTCAGGAAATTGTCTTTTTTTTGTTGCTTATTTAAAAAGACCTTTATTGACTTAGTTTGAAGACTCCCCGGTGCTCTGCGCTGCCTTTTGATTGGAGGCCACAAAAGGTTTTTTTGTGTTTTGTTGCTAGGCAGCCTCCTCACAATCAGCTGATGATCAGCTGTCAGACCTTCAGGACAGGTGTTTGATGCAGTTTTTGGTTTATGTGCTCATTATAAAGGCATTTTATGTACATCAAAGTTCTCTGTGTGAGTTGTGGAGGTGAACAGTGAAACTATAACAGCTGTAAACATCTATCACTGTTCACAGACACACTTCCTGCTTCAACTCTGACTTTTCCTACTGTAGATGAGCATTCTCGTTCAATGAGGGATTATAACAATTTGCAGTATGAACTAAATAGTAAAGTGGTTTATTTAATCTGGATAATCTGTGTTCTTCAGACTTCATTATACTGATGGCGCTGTGTCTGGTCTCAGAAATGAACGTGTTGAATACAAAGTTATCATATCTGATAGAAATGCAGATCAAATGTAAGCAGCTCTTTGAGGCGATAATATTGTTAGCATGCTAACTGATTTCAATTACGTGAGCACATCAGGCTGCCAGGTTGCAATACAGTTAAGTCAATATTTGTATATCAAGCCCAACCTTTGTAAAACATATTAGGATATTATCCTCAAAAAGTGGAAGGACTCCAACAAGAAGTCACTCAATCTCAGTGGCTCAATTCATCAAAAGTAATTTGGCCATGATTTGTTGAAGCAAATTTTCCAGCAAAAACTAAAAATATATTGTGGTTGCAGCTTCTCTTTTGCAACTCGTCTTTGTTTTGGTTAAGAAAAATAAAATAAATACACAAACTTGCATTCTGGTGGATTGAAAAGACCAAACAATAAGGATGAATTCACCTTTTGATTATTAATATAATAGATCATTAGCTTTGTAAAAATGTCCTTCAAATCAAAAACGTGTGCAGTAATCCAAACGTGTTTAATCTCTAAAGATCCTGTACAATCACGAGAGCAGAATTCCTGTTAAATCTCTGCATAACTTTTCCCCATTACCAGGGTGTTGGTCATGTGCACGGCAACAAGAGGATTTTAGGCTCATGTTGTGATGAAAGCTAAACCCATGACACACACACACACACACACACACACACACACACACACACACACACACACACACAAACACACACACACACAAACACACAAACACACACACACACACACACACACACACACACACACACACACACACACACACACACACACACACACACACACACACACACACACACACACACACACAACACACACACACACACACACACACACACACACACACCACACACACACACACACACACACCACACACCACACACACACACCACACACACACACACACACACACACACACACACACACACACACACACACACACGTGAACACACAGTATGACGCTCACTAAGAAATGCTATAACCCCCCACAAACATCTAGCTTTGAAACTACATTTGTATTTGTGTTTTCTGCTTTCCAACAAGTCAAAGGGGAGTCTCCTGCAACAGCCAATCAGAACACAGACAGAACACCGCCTGCAGCACACATGTATGTCATCATTATCTCCTCCACTGTCCATCCTCTCCTGCTCAGAGGTAAGGAGAAGGTGGGAGGGGTCAGCTGGTACCTGTGTGAAAACATGAATCACTCTTCACATTTGTCCCCCCCCCCCCCCCCCCCCCCTGCATTCCTTCCTGTAGCTTAACAACACATTAACCAACCCCCACCACAGAGCAAACCACCTCCAGATGGAGTCATGGAGGAGGCTGAAGGGGCAGATCCCGACTCCAGCCAGTCCAACGCGTGGAGAACCCGGCCCATGTGGAGAATGACAGACTGTGCACATTTAACCCTCCCACACCTGCATGTGACTCAGCAAAATCCTCTCTGGAGCAGCGGGTCGGCAAGTTTGGCTGGATCCAACGGGAGCCAGAGGAACGCACGGATCAATGTATAGCTTTAAAGAGTACACACAGTACACAGTGGTAGTTGAAGGGCAGATTTGTCAGTTTTGATTGATTGTGATCATCTTAAACATTTGTTTAACTCATTTGGCAGCAACATCCAGCCCGACTAGATGGGTCTGATTAAAAGTCATGAGAATATTTGTTTCAAGGAGCGGATTTAGGTGCGCAACACAAAATGTAAGACTGTTAACACACACACATCCAAAGCTTCCGACATTTTGGAGAAATGTGTATAACATTATTTTGGGAGAAATGTATATAAAAAGATGCACAAGGCCAGGACTAAAACATTTGTTTTCCTATATGGGATCATCTAAAGTTGTTTTCTTTAATAAATAACTTAGTGCAATTTCCAAAATCCAAAAGGTACACCTTTAGATTTCTTGCTTTGTTTAACCAACAGTCCAAAACTGCCAATGTTCAGATTACTATCAATAAGAACTGAGAAAACTGCATCTCATCACAGAAGCATTGTTGCTTTATAAACACCTTGTGCGTGCACTTATTCCAGTTTCAGGGCTTTTGGGGAAACATGGCTCTGCTGTGTGAAGTCATAGCTCCGTTTCAGGCTGACAATATTCACTTTTCAAATGGAGGTGGAAAGTAATTAAGTTTTTTATAAGCAATGTTATGCTTCTTTATACTTCTACTCCACCATTCACAGTGTAATTATTGTACAATTTAATTCATTGAGTAAAGTACAAATATCTCAAATCTTCATCATCATCATCAAAGGTACTCTGATCTGTTTCAACTTTATCACAGTTCAACATGGCTGCACCAGCAGGAATTCTGTCATTAAAAGCATCTCAGTCTGGATTTACTCAAATTTGTTTTATATCGTGAAACATTACTCATGATTACAGCTGAGCACCAGGTAGACCTTGAACTCCCCTGACTTTAAAATGCTTAAATATCACACTTTATACAATAAACTTATATATTAAAGCACTCAATATGCAGCAAGTTGGCTCAACTGTTGATTAACTGTATATTATTGTCTTTTTAAAGTTTGATTCCTGTATACGAAGGATTTTCATGATGTAGCTGGTTGAGATAGACTTAATGAAATATCAAAATATAAGTAGATGCACTTTATATGTTGCTGGGGAGCTTTATATGTCACAATATATGTTTTTACTAATCAATTTATTTTTAAAGTCTTAATGGACAAAGTAACTACAGCTGTCAAATGAACGTTGATTAACAATAAAAGTATGTCCCACTTAGTATAAAGTTGAGTTAAAAAGGGAAATAATAGCTTTTACTTATTAAACTACGTCCTTTAAATCAGGTAAAAGCCTTATTTCTGATTATCTGAGAATTAGTAAATATGAAGGAAGTATAGAGAGTGAGTTTTGGGAGATGCTGACTCTCCTTTAGCAGCCACCTGTTGACCGCAGGACAAATCCCCGCATCCTCTGAGTGGCTTTGGGACTTAATAACTCACCGATGATTTTCTCCTGGTAGCCCTTGGTGAAGAACTGCATGGCGGTGGCCGCTCTCCAGGGGGTCTTGAGGAGCCCCTGCCGCTGGGGGTCCTCCCCGAGCCCCCGCAGGATGGTGGTGTAAGCGGCGGCCAGGGACGGCAGTCTCATCTCGTTGTCCTCCACGCTCCTGGTGCGATCCTCCCGCCAGCTCTCCATCACCGGCCGCTGAGAGCCGGACTCCGCGGCGGGAGGCTGGGAGGGTCCGCCGGCCGGCCGCTTCACCATCCCGTCACAGTGTCCGTTCACCACGGAGCTGGTCCCGGCGTCCTTCTTGTCGCTGGAGCCGAGCTGGGTCTGTTTGGAGTGCTCCATCACTTCTTCTTCTTCTGTGTTTAACTTGTGTTTCCTGTCTGCTGAGCACTTGTTGGACTAGTTGCTTCTCTCTGAATCTCTCTCTGTTCCGAGTTAAAGTACGCGCTCCTCCAGCAGCCTCTACATCCAGCCTTTATAACAGCAGATAATCCAGGGAGAGCCCCTATTGGCTGGCCGGATCCAGGGGGCGTGGTCTACGACCAACAAGTGCTCTTATCAATACCACAGTATACAAATACTACATTCAGAATCTTACTAAGTAAAAGTACATGAATATTATCATTGCATGTACTTCAGGTAGCTGAAGTAAATTACTCAATGTGGAGACTTGTGGCGCAGTGGATAGAGCCTTGGTGTTGGGATCAGGGGGTCACAGGTTCAAACCCCACTGCAGTCAGCATGTTGTTGTGTCCCTGGGCAAGACACTTCACCCCAAATTGCTCCAGTGGGGATTGCCCACAATATTGAGTATGTAAGTCGCTTTGGATAAAAGCAACTAACAAGTAACATGTAATGTAGTGTGCATAATGGGTCATTACAGAATCATATTGTCTTCTTGGGTACAACTGGCTAAAACTTAAGAATTCTAATACAACAGTCTTGCAATTAAAGAAAATAAGTCATATTAATAGTAGATAATTAACATTATTCATATAGAACCTTTCCAAAACAATGTGTACAACAAGCTTTATAGGGGGTTAACAACAAACCCAATAATTAATGTATTAGAAAAACTATAACAAAAGCACTTTCCATAAAATGATTAAATAAAGCAATACAATATAAAAAGAGTAGAAATTGTGAATAAAATTCAGATTAAATACAAACAAAAATAAATGCTGGTAAAATAGATTATAGGAAGGCTAGACTATTTAAGTGTCTTATAAGGAGAGTGTTAAATAATGAGATAGACAGATATTGCAAAATCTGTTGGCAAACGCTCGTTCACCTTTGTGTCTGGATCTAGGACCCAGAAAGAAAGCAGGATTTAAAGACCTCAGGGCCCTGACGGCACACAAGGAGTTAACATATCTGAATTTAGTTTAGGGCCCAACCATTCTGAGCTTTTCAAGTGATGTGTGTAGATTTAGATATATGGGGTGGAGTGTAAAGTAGAAAAGGCTGACAATGAAATGTCAGTGTTAAATCTCAGTCCTGATTATTAATGTGACCTGCTAGCAGACTGCTTCTGCAGCAGTAGGAAGAAAAAGGAAAATCCAACAAAAAAGTTACATCAAGATAAGAACAAACTCTTAAAATACTACTAAGGGACGAAAGCAGTAATAAAAAACCAAAAAAGCAGAACAAAGTTACCTTAAGGATATATAATAAGGAGGCGTTTCGTCTGTTTAACATCAAGAAGTTGCATGTCATACAATCTTCTATGTGGTGTTAAGTTAATAAAAAATGTCCCAATGTATGTAAACAAGTTTGCCGCCTCGCCCCGTTCTGGATGAATACAATGAGAGATTGGCAATGTTTCAAAATAGCTGGCGCGATGGGAGTGCCTCTGTGTATTTGCTTGTATTGTTGATCCTTGATTGTAATTTGACTTTAACTGATTTGTTCTTTTCTTTTCACTATCTTTGTAAAGCAACTTTGAGCACCTGTAAAAGCGCTAACAAAATTAATCTATTATTATTATCCTGTTCTATTTGTACAAGATTAAATAACCCTGAGCTTCAGACATCACGTTGGTCTCCTGCAAGTGAATTACTTTGTTAAATAGGAATTTTCTTTACATTTGTGACCTATCTTTTGTTATATATATTTGCATCTTCTGTTTAACATCAAGAAGTTGCATGTCATACAATCTTCTATGTGGTGTTAAGTTAATAAAATGTTTCCCAATGTATGTAAACAAGTTTGCCACCTCGCCCCTTTCTGGATGAATACAATGAGAGATTGGCAATGTTTCAAAATAGATGGCGCGATGGGAGTGCCTCTGTGCATTTGCTTGTATTGTTGATCCTTGATTGTAATTTGACTTTAACTATATTGATTTGTTCTTTTCTTTTCACTATCTTTGTAAAGCAACTTTGAGCACCTGTCAAAGCGCTAACAAAATAAATCTATAATTATTATTATCCTGTTCTATTTGTACAAGATCAAATAACCCTGAGCTTCAGACAGCAAGTGAATTACTTTGTTAAATAGGAATTTTCTTTACATTTGTGACCTATTTTTTGTTATATATTTGCATCTTCAGGAGGAACAAACGGGCTGAGAGCCACAGACTGAAGGGAAGTCAGAATGTAGTCATTGTTGTTGTTTTTTCATTGTTGATTTGTTGAATATAACACCAGACATATCCTTGAAAGAGCCCATCAAATATGATCTCCCCTTTTTTCACTTCTTTGTGAATGAATTCAATGCCACACAAAAAAATGGATGGAGACTAAAAATGTGAACTAACAAACATTTACATTTATTCAATTTGTAAAATACAGTTTATAAGGGTTTATAGAAGTGTTGTAAATGTAACATCAAAACAAAGGATGCCCCATTATTAATGAATTTGTGTTCTGATAAGTGCCGCAAATAACAGACGCATTATCTAACGCAGCAAACAGATTTCCTACATACATTTGCACAAAAACCAAGACTTAAAAAAAAAAAAAAAAAAAAAAAAAAGTTTAGTTTTTGTTAAAAGCAAATGCCGAAAGCTTGGAGGATGGATCTAGAGATTTTTTCTTCTTGGCACTATTTTCATCTGCTTCTGCCTGTCCTTTCTCAGTCTCTGCACCCTCTGCTCCTCCTTCGGCCCTCTTCCTCTTCTTCAGATCTGCTGCGTCTCCAGTTTTTGCTCTTTCCGTCCAGGACTGAATCAAATAGGAAAAATAAAAGAACATGAAATGCCTGTTGATTACTGAACAGGACAAAACAAAATCATACAGTTCTTCCATTTCAATTGAGGCTCCAAACACCTACATCAAATGACTAAATACACACTACACACACACACACACACACACACACACACACACACACTCAGGCGTGCAGTTTGAAATTGCATCCTGTCATGTATAATCACTACTGACAGGCTGCTGCCTCTTTTCCCTCCTCGTGCTTTTTCCCCCCCTTTCTTTCTCTCCCAGCAGAGACAAAAGGAAGCGCTTGCCTGGACGTAATGGAGCCCGGATGAATCATCAGGCCTGGTGAGTGGTCTGGCCACACACACATACACAACACACACATACATAATCTTCCCCTCCAGCACTGCCCATTAACCCCATGCATATTCAAACAAGCCTCAAAACATAAAACACCACCGATAGAGAACTGGTAGATGCTACAAACTGTGACGTCCTGCTATTCAATTGTTATTTGATTGAATTCGGACAGAATAATGACATTAGGACAAATTAGGAAACACACACAGAGCCCCAGGGTCGTTAACGACGTTTCAGCTTCCTGCAGGGTCATGTAACAGATTTTCTTTTTAAATATCCAAACTGAAAAGTCAAAGCCTTCACTGTATCTACGTTTAATTTGAATGAAAAAGACAACTTGCAACAGGCTGCGTTTGTGTGGGAGAGATGCTACAGGTGGTGGTTAGAAGAGAACAACAAATACATTCAGGAAGTCCAGTTTGAAGGGTCAGATGTCAGTTATTGGGCGATGGACAGAACATTAGTCAACAGTTTGGATATTGGTTAATAGTTTGGGTCATTTATCAAAGCACTGTCCCCTTGTTCTGGCTCCTCAAATGTGAGGCGTTGCTGTGGAGTTTTTGACCATAGAAGGCGCTGTGGAGTTATCATAAATATGTACTTTGAACAATTGTGCGTGACAATAATCCTGTGAATGGTTTAACGCTACTGCACTGAGCAAAAGTCGTGATTGCCAACGTGCAAAGAAGAAGGCTTTGAGATAGCAAACAAAGCAAGATTTAAAATATTTCAGCCATTGCCTTTGCGAATGTGTTATAATTAGGGCTGTCAGTCGATTAAAATATTTAATCGCATGATGTCCATAGTTAATCGCAAATTAATCGCACATTTTCTATCTGTTCTAAATGTACCTTAGAGGAATATTTTTCAAGTTTTTATACTCTTATCAACATACGAGTGGACAAATATGCTTTATGCAAATGTTTGTTTATTATCATTTGAACAATGACAAACATTCTCCTGAATATTCTCAACACAACAACCTGGAACCTCTCTCTCTCTCTCTTACACTCTCTCCCAACCCTGTCTACTTCTTTGCACTGAGCCAGTTGCTCAAACACACAGTTCCCACTGTGGGTCAAAATAATGCGCTGTGATGTGCAGTCGACACGTTGGATGCGATCCAAATTATCTAACGCAGCCCCTCGTCCTCCACGATGTTAAGCTGTAGCCACCCATTTAGCTATCGCTGTTGTTGTCCAGGCGTCTCCCCGGCAAACTTTCAAGCGTGGTCTGCCGCAAGCGAGCGGCAGGAGCGGGGCTGTCAGCATCAGCTGTGTGCTTGGCTTGCTGTTTAAAACACCTTTTTTTGTATCCATATCTCTCGCTAGAATCTGCCACCATCCAACTAACAACAACAACAACAACAACGTCAAGCCTTTGGGCTCTGAAACTACGGGGCGGGCCGAGGACAAATACACATGCGTTAATCGCACGTTAAAATAATTAGCGTTAACTTGACAGGCCTAGTTATAATGAAGAAAATGTTTAAGACACCTTTGAAAGACCTCACGTATACAGTGTTAAAAAACACTTAACATAATTGTAAATCTTGTTTTAGCTGCCATGATGTTGCTTCAATGGGAAAACACATTCAACCTGGTTGTACATTTGTTAAACATATAATATCTCAAGTGTATTATACCTTTATAGAACCATGCATACAATTGCATTCATAACAAAAAGAGGAGAAGTTATACGCCAGATTATAGATAAAGCTAATCTGCAAGAGAATTATGTAAAAGCAAATTGCCCTAATATTCATAAACCTTCTTTGCTTAACATGTCAAATGTATTGTATTGTGAAAATATATATACAATATATATATTTGTTGTAAATGTAAAAGAATAGAGGCCGACAAAAAGACCAAAATGCTGTTAAAATGTATTAAAAAACAAATGCTTTTTCTTCAAATCCCTAATTATACTTAGATT